TTTAAATTTATAAACTTTATTAAAACACATATAAAACACATATAAAAAACATTTACAAAACATACAACGTATAAGTAAATTTTCTTCTTAAAGCAATATTTCGTAGTGGTTCTTCAATTAATACAGTTGTATTTCCCCCTTATGTTTAGCCTAGTAGTTTTTCCCATTCCCTTTTCTCCCCCCTCCTCTTCTTTTTCCCCTCCCCTTAGGATTTCTTAACAATCTTTATATTTGAATTATACTTTTGTTTTAAAACTCCTGTTCATATTTACTTGCCCATAGGAAATTATTAATATATCTATTTACATCTTTATTCTATTTTTCTTGCACCTATATATCTTTATTAGCGGTTAATAAATACTGTATTCATTTATATTTGACAACACATGAACGGCTGAGGTAACTCTTTTATTAACTGCAACCGACAACCTAATCAATTAACATATACATGCGAACGAACACCCGAGCCCTTCTTGACAGCTCTTACATACTCCCTGTCAGCTAGGCCAACCAATCACAAAACACGTTCACATATTTATTCGTTCCAACAGGGGGCCTAAACATTAGAGTTTGCCCAGTACACAACAGCGGTGTTATACCATAGGTACCATTTGTCTCATATTCTATAGTACTCTGTCTCTTCTTTTTCCTTAATCTCTTTTGTTAGTCTATCCATTTCAGCACACTGTGCAATTTTATCTGTTAACTCTTCTTCCGTTGGGATTTTTTCTTGTTTCCAGTTCTTTGTGTATGTTATTCGAGCTGCCGTTAGAATATGTATTATCAGATATTTTATATCTTTAGGATATGTTTTTGTGAAGATTCCTAGCAGGAAAGTTTCTGGTTTCATCTCTATTTGTAATTTTGTTATTTGTTCCAACCATTTCTTGATGTTAGACCAAAACTTTTTTGCTGCCGGGCACGTCAACCATAGATGATAAAAGGTACCCTGAGATTTTTTGCATTTCCAGCATAATGAACTATTCTTTGAATGAATTTTTGCCAATCTTGTGGGCGACATATGCCACCTATAAAACATCTTCAGCTGGTTCTCCTTGTATGCCACCGCTAGTGTTAATTTTGTATTCATTTGCCATAATTCCTCCCACTTCTCCAAATCTATTGTATATTTAAAATTTTGCATCCATTTAATCATTGTATCCTTTACTGTTTCCTCCTCCATCTTATATCGCAATAGAAAATTATAGATTTTACTAATTTATTTATCTTGTGAGTCTAATAATTTTATCTAGTTCTTGTTTCTCTGTGGATTTCATATGTTTTTATGTGTTCCTTGTGTTTGGATTGGATCTGTGTGAAAATCCACCAATCAATTTCTCTATTTAACTCTAGTTCCAATTGTTGTTTGGTTGTCAGCTTCCCTTGATAATCAATTAAGTCTTTATATCTAATTATATTTTTGGGTTCTGTTAAATTTGGGTGCCTTACCGCTTCTGATGGTGATGCCAATTCGGAATTTTTGTATAATGTTGTTTTTTAATTTTTAGCCAAATTAGTAGTAGTGTATTCCTAATTGTGTGTCTTTTAAAATAGGTATGTGTTTTATATCTTTCATCCCATAAAAAGGAATGCCATCCCATTTGCAGTTCGTGGCCTTCAATTGTTAATATCCTGCTGTTTTTTAATTCCATCCAGTCCTTTACCCATGATAACACCGCCGCTTGATAGTAGAGCTCCCAATCTGGGAGTGCTGTTTCTCCTCTGTCTTTTGTGTCTTGAAGTAGCTTAGCTTTCTTTTTAAATCCACTGCTTGACAAAGTAGCAAACCATTTTAGGAGGAATAGTGGGATTTTATTCTTTATACAAGAGAAAAATCACTCTTGTAATAGACATTATGATATGGAAGGCTCCCCCTCCTAGAAGAATGAAATATTTTGATGAATATTAAAAAAGCAGAATATTATATTTCATTAAACGAGGAATGGAGATACATTTTTTTCAGAGGCATGAAGCAGATTCACTCTTAATAGCCCCCCCCCCGAATATATTTTGTGCCCATTAAGAAAGACTGGACCAGCCTATCTACAAAACATAGGACCTTCAGATTCAGGATGATGGGATTAAGAAGAACAGGACATGATCCTTCAGCACATAATAGGATTAACCCACTACCATTTAGCAGAAGACACAGCTCACTACATTGCATAATTTCCTAAGGATATTTCAGTCATTGCATCATCTCAGAGCAGTCCAAACTTCAACCAAACCTGGGAGCTCAGACAAACACCTAGGATTTGTACTTTGCCTATAGAGCCAGCTATGACCTCTACATAACCCCTACATGCCCCAATGAGAATCTGACAACAGCCAATAGAATACATGTTCTTGCTCAGGAACAGGAAGCTCAAATGCAAAGCCCAAGAGAAGGTATAACATCCCCGCCACTCTCAACTCCATTGTGTTAGCTGCCCAGAACCCATGTGGTTCTGCTTCATCAATAAACGATCTTTCCAATCAGCCTCCATGTTTCCAGTGTCTTTCTCCCAGCTTGGAACTGAACCAGATGGATATTTCTTCCCACAATGGTAAAATTAAAACATGCCAATTTTTTAAAAATCCATGGATGTAACTTGTTGGCTTTATCAAATCTTGTGACCATCTCAACAAATTGATGGCAAATATCCAAGGGAGGAGCTTAACCCCCCTCCCATTTCCACACTGTGGGCACACTTAAAACTATGAAATATGTTAGCAATCTGGCCACTTTAAAAAGCAAACGGGACAGGTTCCGTGGAGAATGTAACTACTAGTAGGGATGGTTGTTTATTATCCCCTGGATTCTGGTTTGCACAATTAGCTGGGAAGCAAAACGGGGCAGGGATGCAGCCCTCGAATCCTGGTTTGTGCATGTCTCTTATGCATCCAGGGCTCCGCTGTATGATACATATAGAAGACCCAATAGGGCTCTTCTGACGTTTCCCAGTTTGGGCTGCACTGATTCTCACAACCACGGGAGGGTTCTGCATCTCGGAAACACCACCCAGGCCTGTCCAGATCCTTTCAGTTTTCCACCTGAGGCAAGCCGCTTGGTTTAATCTCCTAAGAGCCCTGGTGGCCCAGAGGTTATAATGCAGTATTTCAGACAGACTCTGCCCACTGCCAGCAGTTCGATCCTGATTGGCTCAAGGTTGACTCAGCCTCCCATCCTTCAAAGGTGGATAAAATGAGGACCCAGATTGTTTGGGGGCAATATGTTGACTCTGTAAACCTCTTAGGGCTATAAAGCACTATGAAACAGTATATAAGTCTGGATGCTATCGCTATTGCTGTCCCAAAGGTGCTTTTTCAGGAGGCAACTGGACTTTCTTGTTTTTTCTTTTGAAGACGTTTCACTTCTCACCCAAGAAGCTTCTTCAGCTCTGACAGGAAAGTGGGGAATGGATGGATTTATATTTCTTGAAGACAGCTGGTCATTTGCATCATTTTGGAGCAGAGGTGTCAAACTCCATTTCATTGAGGGCCGCATCAGAGTTGTGTTTGACCTTGGGGAGCCAGGGGGGCCATGGCCAGCTCAACATCTCTCATCAAAGCTCCTGGAAACAGTGAAGGACTGGCCTTTCAGCCACGACAGCCTCGTGGAGGAGCTCGGGAGGGCTGCGCTCGGCCTCCCTGGGCTCCATTTTAGCTGGCAGAGGGATGCAGGAGGCTGTCGTGGCTGAAAACAGAGCCCAGGAGGGCCACACGCGGCCATCCTGAGCTCTGTTTTCGCTGGCAGAGGCACTGTGGGCCGGTCCTTCACTGTTTCCAGGGCGAGCACACGGGCTAGATCTAAGCACCCCGCGGGCCAGATGCGACCCACCGGCCTTGAGTTTGACACCCCTGTTTTAGAGGGTTGTTGAAGCACTTGAGGTTTATCTGTGTCCTCAGGATCACCTGAGTAGTGCTCCTGGTTCCTGTAGTCTCCAATTTTTTCCTCTGGAAATCCATTCTTACTGCCACACCATTCCAAGGGTGTTCATCCCAAATTGTGTAGTTAAACGTCTATGGAGATTCTGAGTCATCCAGGTCATGGTTGTCCCAAAGGTGCTTTTTTCAGGAGACAACTGGACTTCCTTGTTTTTTCTTTGAAGATATTCTGCTTCTCATCCAAGAAGCTTCTTCAGCACTGACAGGATGGCGGGGAATGGAAGGATTTATATTTCTTGCAGACAGCTGGTTATCTGCATCCTTTTACAGGATGGTTGAAGTACTTGGAAGTTTATCTGTGTCCTCAGGATCACCCAAGTAGTGCTCCTGGTTCCTGTAGTCTCCAATTTTTCCTCTGAAAATCCATTCCTACTCCCACACCATTCCAAGGATTTTCATCCCAAATTGTATAGCTGAAAGTCTAGAGATTCTCAGTCATCCAGGTCATGGTTGTCCCAAAGGTGCTTTTTCAGGAGGCAACTGGACTTCCTTGTTTTTTCTTTGAAGATGTTTTATTTTTTTATTTTATTTTATTTTATTATTTATTTTATTTTATTTTATTTTATTATTTTATTTTATTTTATTTTTTTATTATTTTATTTTTTTATTTTATTTTATTATTTATTTTATTTTATTTTATTTTATTTTATTATTTTATTTTATTTTATTTTATTTTATTATTTTATTTTATTTTATTTTAATTTATTTTATTATTTTGTTTTATTTTATTTTATTTTATTTTATTTTATTTATCGGACTTATATGCCGCCCTTTCTCCACAAGGACTCAGGGCGGCTCACAGCAATAAGCAATTTTGCTTCTCATCCAAGGAGCTTCTTCAACTCTGACAGGATAGTGGGGAATGGAAGGATTTATATTCCTTGCAGACAGCAGGTCATTTGCATCCTTTTAGAGGGTCGTTGACTGAGAATCTCTCCAGACTTTATCCCTATAGTTGTTCACCACCCACCCACGCACCGTCTCCCCCGGAGCAACCTGCAAGCCGGGCCGCAAAAAGGCGCAATCTCGGCCCAGCCTCCCTTCTGACGACGCTTCCTTTCCCAATGAGCGCCGGTGGCTGGAAGAGGCGGGCTCGCTTTGCGGCAGGGCTGGCCTGATGCAATCGGCTTGCAACTCCACGTCAGAACCGCAGAGCTGAGCGAGGAACGAGCTGCCGGGTCAGCCGCGCCCAGCCTTCCGGGGGACCCTTTCCCAAAGCCACCATGTCGGAGATCATCCTGGAGAAAACGGACAGGCTGAGCCTGGGTGAGTTTGCAAGGAGGCGGCCGAAGGTGAGGGGAGGAAGAGGCCTGGCCTCCAGCCCCGATGCTTTAGGACATCGGGAACCGAGGCCGGAGCAAAATGCAAGGCTGGAGAACCGGGAAGCGAAAGGAAAACCTGGCCCGGTGCAACCTTCCCATCTCCGGACCCTTTGGGAATACAAGTCCCAGCGTTCCCAGCCAACCCGGGCCTCCGAAGCAGCAGCTTGCAAAAAGCTGCCGCAGCCTCACGTGGCGTGTTGGAAAAGGACACCCCGGCCACGATCGCGCCCCCCACGGCCGCTTCTCTTCCACGCGTTTTCGCCGGGGATAAACGCGAGAGGAAGAAGCGGGAGGCCTCCGTGGTTGCCACCTGGGTCCGCCCTCTTGTTTCCTCCCCCCCCTTTTTTTTGCAAGGATTCCCTCTTGATGGGAGAAAAACGGGGCATTGCAAAGGACGATTCGAGGAGAAATGTGAGGTGGGGGCGCGTCTGAGTCTTTTCGCTTCTGGGTCCCCAATTCGGGAAGCTGCGCAAAACAGGCCATTCATTCATTCATTCATTCATTCATTCATTCATTCATTCTTTCATTCATTTATTTATTCGTGGTGTTTCTTTGTATTCTTTTTTTGGTGGAATTTTATAGATTCCCTGTCATGGACTGATTGAACCCATTTTCTTCCCAAAGGAAAGAAAAAGACATTTTTGATTGTGGGAAACGAAACTGGATCTGGATCTGTCCCATCCTGGCTGAGATAGGCTGGGGCTTTAACAATAATTTTCATTATTACCTGGTTCCTGGTGTTTATGATGTGTCGTTGCTTTGGTAGACAAAATGGAAGGATTTTAGAAGTCATTTAGTCCTCTGGGTGCAGATCCACTACAACATTTCTGGCTGATACCACCAGCCTCTGCCTGAAGACTTTCAGAGAAGGACAATTGGCTGATGCAATCAATGTTAGAAAGTTTCTCCTGGCTGCCTTCCCTACATTATTAGCCCTCCCTCTTCTCCCCCTTTTATGTGACATTTGAAGACAACTCTCATATCTCTCTCTTCAGTTATCTCTTCTGTAGGCCACATGTGATGATGATGATGATGATGTTACCCATTCAGTCCTGTCCCAAAAGTGCTTTTTTCAGGAGGCAACTGGACTTTCTTGTTTTTTTCTTTGAAGACATTTTGCTTCTCATCCAAGAAGTTTCGTCAGCTCTGACTGGATGGAAGGATTTATATTCCTTGCAGTCCGCTGTCAGAGCTGAAGAAGCTTCTTGGATGAGAAGCAAAACGTCTTCAAAGAAAAAAAAACAAGAAAATCCAGTTGCCTTCTGAAAAAGCACCTTTGAGACAACCATGACTTGGATGACTGAGAATCGCTTATAGACATTCAGTCCTGACCACCTCTTGGCAATTCTATGGGCCAGGTCTCTAGATCAAATATTATACACTCAGATCCTTTGACTATTCTTCAAAGGGCTTGAAGAAAAGTTACTACTCATAGGTTTGAAGTCTTACTGCAATCGTCTTGGTAATCCTTCTCAGATTTTGCTTCAGTTTGTCACTGTCCTTTTTGAATGATGGTACCCCAAACTAGACATAGTTCTCCAAATAGGGGTTGACCAGGGCAGAGTAGAGTGGAAGAATTACTTCAATAATCTGGATTTTTCACTCCTGTTAAGGCACCCCAAGACCATATCTGCTTTCTTAGCAGCTGCATCACTGTGACACCCAGAGCTCCTTCACATGATCTACTTCAAGCCATATTTTCCCAATGCTAGACAAGTGCCTTACATTTTTCCTATTCTATTGCCTTCTGCAGTTGTGTTTTTTGAATCTCAGTCTATAGCCTAAAGCTTTGAAAGTTCATGGTTTGCTTCCATTAATCATACCTGCTAGTGTTTAGCTGAACTAGGACAAGATCAGCCTGGAGTTGCCAACTGAAGCGATCTCAAACAAGCATGAGAATTTTTGCTTCCTTATAAATATATTTTTTTTAAAATTACATTTAATAAAGCCCTAAAGGGAAAGCATGAGAGATGAAGTACAACAGCCACATTTTAATAACAAACTTCGTAGATACAGGGAATTTATTTCTAATGAGTGGATTTGCTTAGAAATTCTTCTGCACCTGCCTTCCTTGGAATCAGTAATCTACTACATGGATTCTGGGGGGAAAGGAATATTAAGGACTCTGCTGAACACCTGTAGCCTATTGGCTTTATTTGCCCCTCCTGTGTGGAGAATACATAAAATGTCCACGACATTCTCCTCTGGCTGCTCTTCCATCTAGGACAGTGATGGCTAACCTTTGTGTTGTCACGTGCTGAAAGCGCAAGCGTGAACCCGCACCCATAATGCAATGCGCATGCTACCCCCTGTGGGCCCCAGCCCCTTGGGCATGCAACACCCCCCCCCCCCCGCGTTCTCTCCGCACCCTGTTTTGGGCCTAGTAGGCCTCCCTGCAGCCTCCTGGGAGCAAAAACAGGCTGCTGGGGGGCCGTGCCAGAGGCCCCCCAACGCCTCATTTTGGGCCTAGTAGGCCTCCCTGCACTTATAATCCATAATGCACTGCACATGTGATCCCCACTGCCTGTGCCCCACCCACCCACATATGCACACGCGACCCCCGCCACTCCTGGCCCCACGCGCATACTCGCATGCAATGGTGAAATCTAAAATTTGTTACTACCGGTTCTGTGGGCATGGCTTGGTGGGTGGGGGAGTAATGTGACTGGGTGGGCATGGCCATTTTTTTTTTTTTTTTACTTTTAAAAACATTTTTTCTACAACCTCTTTGGCGAAAAGGTTGTAAAAAAAATGCTTTCAAAAGGCTCTGACGATCCCAGCTGAGCTGCGCGATCATCAGAGGCTTTTTTTTTTTTTTAACTTTTAAAAGCATTTTTTCGGCCAAGAGGTTGTAGAAAAAATGCTTTTAAAAGTAAAAAAAAAAAAGCCTCTGATGATTGTGCGGCTCAGCTGGGTATTGCGGTGGGGGGGCAGGGATTTTTGCTACCGGTTCTCCGAACCACCCACCTTCATCGCTACCGGATTGGGCGATCTGGTCCGAACCAGGAGCATTTCACCCCTGCTCGCGTGTCTCCCACATGTGCCCCGCGCATGTGCGGTAGAGATCCAAAAATCAGCTGGCCGGCGGGAGGCATGCACGCTGAGCTGGGGCGATGGCTTGCGTGCCCGCAGAGAGGGCTCTGCATGCCCCCTGTGGCACATGTGCCATAGGTTCGCCATCACGGATCTAGAATGTTCACTGGAAACTCAGTTTTGTAATCAGAGGATGGAGGAAACTGACGTTCAGCTTTAAGAGGGGGATATGATATTATTTTCCAAGCACTTGAAAGGACTGTACATGGAAGAAGATCAAGAGATCTTGATCTCATAGAAGAAGGTCTTCTGTCATTCTCCCCAAAGAGCAAAGAAAACTGTCTTAAATTGCAGGAAATTAGATTCCGGTTGCAGTTAGAAAAAACAGGATGAGCAATTTGACATTGGAATAAGCTACCCAGTGAGTTTGTAAACCCCGCTTGGTGGGAAGGTTTTGAATAGTGGACAGCTCTCCCAGCAAATGTCTTAAAGTGGATTCCCACACTTAGGAGATTTTGGACCTGAATGGCCTTCATTGATTCTTTCATTCTGTGAAGGTGTCAAAGCTTTAAATCCATTGGTGTCAGATAGGCTATTTAAGCCAGAGCATCCACCTACCTCTAACACTGATGGATCCTACAGTTACCCATTGAAAAGGCCTGCTGATACTATAGATGATAAAATTGAATTCCTTGATCCAGAGAGGTTTAGTAGATTGTCTGTTGCTTTGGCACACCTGAAATCTGGAAGATCAAATGGAGTTTGTTAAGTGCTGGTCATCATTTTCCTACAGGGGCTCAGCAATGCATGTTGTCTAGGTATGTATGCGTGTGTACTTTGTGCTTAGCCCCAAGAATAATTCTGTTTGTATCCTCAGGAGAGGTTTACGTATCTGATCGAGAAGGCTGTGACAGCACTGGTGATGGGACACAGGAGAAACCTTTCAAAACAGCTTTGCAGGTAACTTTGGGTATTTCTGAAGCATGTAGGTAGTTTTTTAGGTACCGATTATTCATCTTGATAATCCAGAATTTAGGATTTTTTAAAAGTTACTAAAATTAAATACATCAAAAATTACTCATTCATTAATTGTCTTTTTTTATTATTTCAAAGGCTTTGATGTCTACTGGAAAGGAACCATTTCCTACTATCTATGTGGACTCACAAAAAGAAAACCAGGTTGGTTAATTAACTCATTGTCATTTCCAGACGCACCAAAAAATACTGGTGAGCAGTTCAGAAATTAGCAAGCATAAATACATCACTAGTTTCCAAAATCCACCAGAAGTAATTGTGGTCTCACTGCAACCATGAAATTAAAAAAAAAACAAAAAAAAAAACACTTGCTCCTTGGGAGAAAAGCTATGGCAAATCTAGATAGCGTAGTAAAAAGCAGAGACATCACTCCGAGAGTCCCTTGGACTTCAAAATCAAATCAGTCAATCCTAAAGGAAATCAACCCTGACTGTTCTTTGGAAGGACAGATATAGGTAGTCCGCAACGTACGACCACAATTGAGCCCAAAATTGCTAAGTGAGAAATTTGTTAAGTAAGTTTTGCCCCATTTTACAACTTTTCTTGCCACCGTTGTTAAGTGAATCACTACAGTGGTTAAATTAGTAACACGGTTGTTAAGTGAACCTGGCTTCCCCTTTGACTTTGCTTGTCAGAAAGTCACAGAGGGGATCACATGACCCTGGGACCACTGCAACCATCATAAATATGAGCCAGTTGCCAAGCATCCGAATGTAAATCACATGACCATGGGGATGCTGCGATGTTCATAGGCATGAAAAATGGTCGTAAGTTACTTTTTTCAGTGCCGTGGTAACTTCGAACGGTCACTAAGTGAGCTGTTGTAAGTTGAGGACTAGCTGTACTGAAGCTTGAATACTTTGGTCACCAAAGGAGAAGAGAGGACTCATTGGAAAAGACCCTGTTGTTGAGAAAGACTGAAGTCAAAAGGAAAAGTAGACAGCAAAGGATGAGATAGATAGTGTCATTGACACAATGAAGATGGGGAACTCATCAAATTTGCAGATGACACCAAGCTGGCAGGAATAGCCAACACTCCAGAAGATAGGCTCAAGATGCAGAAGGATCTTGACAGACTTGAACATTGGGCGCTATCTAACAAAATGAAATTCAACAGTGAAAAAAGCAAGGTTCTACATTTAGGGAAGAAAAACAAAATGCACAGGTACCGTAGTAACTATGAGAGGGATCTTGGAGTCCCTCATATCTAAATGGACAACCATTTAGATATGAGCCAGCAGTGTGCAGCAGCTGCCAAAAAAAGCCAATACAGTTCTGGGCTGCATAAACAGAGGGAAAGAATCAAGATCACGTAAAGTGTTAATACCACTCTGTAATGCCTTGATAAGGCCACACTTGGAATATTGCATTCAGTTTTGGTCGCCACAATGTAAAAAGGATGTGGAGACTCTAGAAAGAGTGCAGAGAAGAGCAACAAAGATGATTAGCCGACTGGAGGCTAAAACATATGAAGAACGGTTGCAGGAACTGGGTATGTCTAATTTAATGAAAAGAAGGACTAGGGGAGACATGATAGCAGTGTTCCAATATCTCAGGGGTTGCCACAAGGAAGAGGGAGTCAAAACTATTCTCCAAAGCACCTGAGGGCAGGAGAGGAAGCAATGGATGGAAACTAATCAAGGAGAGAAGCAACTTAGAACTAAGGAGAAATTTCCTGACAGTTGGAACAATTAATCAGAGGAACAACTTGCCTCCAGAAGTTGTGAATGCTCCAACACTCGAAGTTTTTAAGAAGATGTTGGATAACCATTTGTCTGAAATGGTGTAGGGTTTCCTGCCTGGGCAGGGGGTTGGACTAGAGGACCTCCAAGGTCCCTTCCAACTCTTCTCTTCTAAATCACATGACCATGGAGATGCTGTGATGGTCATAGGCATGAAAAATGGTCATAAGTTACTTTTTTCAGTGCTGTGGTAATTTTGAACTGTCACTAAGCAAATTGTTATAAATTGAGGACTAGCTGTACTGAAGCTGACGCTCGAATACTTTGATCACCAAAGGAGAAGAGAGGACTCATTGGAAAAGACCCTGTTGTTGAGAAAGACTGAAGTCAAAAGGAAAAGTAGACAGCAAAGGATGAGATAGTTAGATAGTGTCATTGACGCAATGAAGATGAATTTGAGCTAACTCCAGTAGACAGTGGAGGATAGGGGAGCCTGGGCTGCTGTGGTCCATATAATTGTGGTCTCAGCTTAGATGGTTTTGTAATCAGGATCTTAAATGAACTGGGGGTGGGGGGAGAAACTGTTTTAATTATTAAAACTGAGTCTTACTACATCATGTTGAAGTGTGGTATGTGGCTATTATTGTTTTCTTGGGATAGGCAGAGGGAATTTTTTTTTTCTTCTCTCTCTTGTACTCTTCACTTTCTGATCTCTTCCCAAAGTTTCCTTCCCCCTATTCTATTAAGCATGCAACTCATTAGCATTTCATTTTTAAGGGTATGTGGGTTGAGATCCTTGGTACGCTTGTAAATAATTGGATGTCACCGATAACCAAACTTTGGACCTAAAAAGTTGCACTGTGTCTTCTAATTCTATGCAAATGAGGAATGCATTCCTGGAATGCAATCCTGATTTGTTTGTTTGTTTGTTTGTTTGTTTGTTTGTTTGTTTTGTCGCATTTCTATGCCACCCAACTCCCAAGGGACCCTGGGCGGCTTAAACAGAGAATAAAACAATGCGAACAATCCCATAAAAAATGTTAAAAAGAAAAACATTAAAACATTAAAAACGTTAAAAACGTTAAAACACATGCACTCCAATTCGTGGCCGGGTCTCGCAAGATCATTATAACGAGATCAACGGCCCCAGGCCTGCTGGAAGAGTCAGGTCTTCACCACTTTGTGGAAGGCCAATAGGTTGGGGGCGGTCCGGACCTCAGGAGGTAATTGGTTCCAGAGAGCCGGGGCAGCCACAGAGAAGGCCCTCCCCTGCGGGCCCGCCAGCCGACATTGTTTAGCTGACGGGACCTGGAGGAAACCGACTCTGTGGGATCTTACCGGTCGCTGGGAGCTATGTGGTAGAAGGCGGTCTCGAAGATAGCCTGGCCGTGAGCCATGTAGGGCTTTAAAGGTAATGACCAACACCTTGAATTGCACCCGGAGACCAATAGGGAGCCAGTGCAGCTCGTGGAGAATTGGTGTAATATGGGTGTATCTAGGCGCACCCACTATAACTCGCGCAGCTGCATTCTGGACCAACTGATCCATTTTGTCTAAGCTTGAGTTCTGTAAAACCATAACCAGAAATGTTTGGCCTCTTCCAAGTTTCAGCTGAAAGAAAATTGAGATGGTCGAGGAGGGCAAGTCTAGTCCTCGTTGTTAATTAACATTTATTTCAGGAGTTTGCACATAGTCAGGAATTTGGCTGTCATGATGGTTGTCTTGATGATGAAGACTACCTACCTCTGACACTTCTCTGTTCATTAGTGACTATACAAGCCAGTATTTCTCATCCTTGGCAATTTAAAAATGTATGGACTTCAACTCCCAGAATTCTTCAGCCAGCCATGCTTGCTGGGGAGTTCTGGGAATTGAACTTTGCACATCTTCAAGTTGCCATGGTTGAGAAACACTGACATAAGGAATTATACATATTGTCTTGGCAACAAATAAAAGGGAATGGTGGTTGAATCAATGTTCATATTCTGGTTTTAACGGAATACCAGCTTTTGTGAAGCAACAGCCAAAAGAGTTTCCTTGTCAAAATTAGAAATGGCATGGTGGCTTAAGATTTTTCTTGTCTGGCTCAAAAATCAGTCACGTGATTCTTGTAACTCTTGTACCTAGAGATGGGACACTATCTCCAAGAGCCAACTCAAGAATGTGAAAAAGCTGTGGCAGAGAGAGCAGCAGAAGAGTGAAGCCAGAGAAAAGAAAGAGGTAAGTTGGCAACTATTTTCTGCAATGCTCAAGGATGTCAGTGTTCTAGATGTCCTTTTAATTTGTTTTTTGAAACAAATGAGAGAAGAGAGAGAGATTTAAATGAAGTTGGACCTTCTGTGGCATCAAGTAATGTGGAAGTGAACCATTGTAGATTAGTTTTCAAATTCACAGATTTCCATATCACCTTACAGGACAGGAGTTCTTGCAAAACATCAGCTGGGTTGAAGCATTGCCTTAAGCCAGGTGTCACCAAAGCTGGCAACTTTGTGGACTTTGTGGAATTCCTAGAATTCCCTAGCCAGCATGGCTGGCTGAGGAATTCTGGGAGTTGAAGTCCACAAGTCTTAAAGTTGCCAAGTTTGGAAACCCCTGCCTTAAGGCATCTTGGCATTTGTTTTCACTGATGTGAAATGTGATGTGTTGTGTGAATCTTATTAAACCCAGTTAAGCAAACCATAATTTAACATGAATGGGGAACCCAGTCATCTGCTGATCCTTACATAAACCAGCATTCCAGACCAGTAGATCTGAATCCAAGTGGATTCCAGATCAGTGGATCCAGATCCAAGTGGATCTGAATAATATATAAGTCCTTCTGCAGTGTCATCACTATTCAGATTGTTAGCCCAATTTATCTTCTTATCATGAACCTTCGCATTTATCTTCAAAAGCTCTTGGCAGATACATCAGAGCTCTTGAGTGTAACCATTCAAAAGGAAGCAATTTTCAAGCAAGAATCATCATGGTGTAATAAGTAGTTACAATTGGGCCATTCAGTGTCAGGTTTAAATAGTCACATGTTCATTAAAGTTGTAGAGAAATATTTGGCAAGTTGACACAACTTGTTCGGGCATAAAATGAAGCGATAATGTGATTTATTTTGGCTCACAGTAAGGTGCAAACCATCCATTATGGGTTGTAACAAATGTGAGAACCAGCTTGCTATGGCTGAAGTTACTTTTCATGCTAAGCTAGTTTTCCCGCACTTGGCACTGTCAGCTCCCAGGATTCTCTGGTGAGCATGACTACCAGAGAATCCTGGGAATTGAAGTCCAGATATCTGAATGGCATCCATAAGACACGGTTTGTTTGAGTAAAAGTGACATTGGCTTCGTTCTCACATTAGGATAAGCCACATATTATAGGTGATATTCATCCCCCAGTCTTTTAGGTCAAGTTTTTTTAATCGGATCCCCAAACCTAATCTCTAGGCAGAAGATTTGTTGCGACGTGAAAAGAACTTGGAGGAAGCAAAGAAAATTATCGTTAAGAAAGACCTCAGCCTCCCGGAGCCCAAATGTGTGAGTAACATCCTCAGAAAAACAACACACATTGTGAACTTGCAGCATGTTGGGGGAAATGGTATGTGATATATGTGGAAATTAGCTTGACGGCAGAAGGGTAGGTAACATGGTATCTGCATGCCAGACTCTCATTTATACTTTAAATTTCTTTTTTTCCTTCCTTCCTTCCTTTCTTTTCCTTCCTTCTTCTTTCCTTCCTTCCTTCCTTCCTTCCTTCCTTCCTTCCTTTCTTTCCCTTCTTCTTCTTTCCTACCTTCCTTCCTTCTTTCTTTCTTTTCTTTCTTTCTTTCTTTTCCTTCCTTCCTTCCTTCCTTCCTTCCTTCCTTCCTTCCTTTCTTTCTTCTTTCTTTCTTTTCCCTTCTTCTTTCCTTCCTTCCTTCCTTCCTTCCTTCCTTCCTTTCTTTCCCTTCCTTCTTTCCCTTCCTTCTTCTTTCCTACCTTCCTTCCTTCTTTCTTTCTTTCTTTTCCTTCCTTCCTTCCTTCCTTCCTTTCTTTCTTTCTTTCTTTCTTTCTTTCTTTCTTTCTTTCTTTCTTTCTTTTCCTTCATTCCTTCCTTCCTTTCTTCTTTCCCTCCCTCACTCTCACTGTCTCTCCCTTTCCCTCTCCCTCCTGTGTTTACAATACGCACCCCAAATTCCAGATCTATCCTGGCCCCAAGTTTTCCCCAGCAAATTTTGGGATTTCAACTTCCAGAATTCCCAGCTAGGTAGTGGGATGTTGGGAGAATTTTGCAAGAAACTGAATATAAAACAGCCTCTGATCTACTGGCACTCTCCAGGTGTCTAGGGCGGTTGAGGTGTTGAGATTGCATCAGATCTGGGAAGACTAGAGTATATACTAGAGTATATTTCTAGCTCTACAGCCCTTTGTAAAGATGAAAACCCAACTATATTGAAAATATCCTTTCTTCATCTATTCCCACATATTCCTACTTAATCAACATATTTAAACACATTTTATATCTTATTTTATTCTATACAGTTATTTATTAGGAGAAACATGTCAGCGTGAAAATATCCTCACAGAGAATGTAAAACCCTTTCAGATCAGAGTGCCCACCGCAGGGAGGACATTTAATAAGTCAACTGCAATTGAAAATTCAGCCTTTTAAAATGCAGCCGTCACCATCCTGTCTTTTTTTGAATTTCCCCATATGGATGACCCTATTGACAGATTCTAAGCTGGCATGCTGGCAATTACTCAGATTAAAACTACATTGTGTGTATGCAGTGGAAATAACATGATCTAACTTCGATGGCATGGCTGGGTGATCTGGAGGGATCTTATGCACATTTACTCAGAAAACTGTAATTGGGAGGAATCTGTCAAATTCCTGTTGCGCGGTCTTTGCTGCATCACCCTGTGACAGAAGCTGGCCAACTGATCTTGTGGAAAATTTAAGAAAATCCATTTACTAGCTTAGCCATTTTTTTCTCTGTATCTGGAGCAAAGGCATAAAATGTGTGTGTATGTATAGGGGGTGGCAACAGTTTTTTTTTTAAATGAAGACCAGTGATAGTGATAGAGTGATAAATAAATAAATAAAATTAAAATGATAAATTGATGGTTTTTCTCTTTTGATGATTCTCTGTAACCAAGTGAGAGGGATACGCACGTGTATCAGAAGATGTTCCAGTTCATCATCGTCATCTTTTAATGACACCATAATCCCTTGCGGGGTGGAGTCTGAGCAACTGAATGGAGCTAGCAGAGTGTTTTAATGGCCGGATGCCCTTCCTGTCACCAATGCAGAGTTTTGTTCAGCAGACATATTCTCATTGGGCCCAGAGAGAGAAATATCTGTCTCTACCTAGGATCGAACTCCCAGCCTCCCGATTGTGAGGCGAGAGCTCCACCTCTAAGCCACTGCACCACTCCAGAAGATGTTATGATATTATGATATCTATTATGATAAAGATATCCCCCTAACTATAGTGCACCTCTCTGAACCTTTTTGTCACCTTGATTTTTCTCAGTGATTTCATGGAGGCTAACTCTAACCCAAAGTGGATTTTCATACCAATGGGATTTTTGCACGCATGTTGCTAATGGCTAACATGGCTGTTACTGTGCCTGCCTGTATAATTAATGAGAGAAAACGCCCGATTCCTGTTTAGGGCAAGTAGCAGTTGAAGCATCAGCATCCTAAGTTTTGAACAGGGGTTGTTGAATAACCTCTGGCTAGGAAAACACCAGTAGCACCAGATTCTGAATACATTTTAGAAGATTCTAGTTTCTTCTGGATTCTGAATCGGCTATTGTGGCCCCGCCCTCTGAGCCTATCTCATCGGAGGAAGAAGGCTCTGAACATGAGGGAGAGGAGTCAGCCAGGCCTCCCTCTCCAGGCCCCTCCCCTCTGGCACTGCCTCAGGTGCCGGCCGAGGAAGGGGAGATTGGCCAGGAGCCAGGTGTCTCTGATGAGGGCGAGGAAGGAGAGCCGTCGTTCCTGGATGCACGCCAATGAAGGTGTGATAAACGGTTGCAGCAGTTAAGGAGGCGTGCTAGGGATTATAGCTGAGTCACTGGACCACACCCCAGAGACTATATAAGAGAGGGTGGTGGCTGGTAAAAATCTGTGACGAACAAAAACTAACTCTGGCTAGTCACTTGAACAACGTCTGAAGCTGCCGAAGGGATATTGTTTTGCTGGACTATTTGCAATGCGTATGTAATTTTATGTTATCTGTTGCAGTAAAGCTCTTGGCAGACGGTGCTTATATTGTTGCCAAGTTTGAGATAACGACCTGTGTGCGTGCCAAGTACTTTCTTAACCCTCGGCTGGCTGTGTTTGTGTGTGTGTGTAGACGGGGACAGATCATCGGCAGCCTGTCTCTTTGTATGTTAAATTACCTGTCTTTTTACAGGTGAAGATTCGTACGCTGGAAGCCTACAGAGGCGAGAGAATAAAGGTGTTTGGTTGGGTCCATCGATTGCGTAGGCAGGGTGAGTACCATCTAGCACAGTGGAAGAGTCCTTCCAGAACAGGGGTATCAAACTGGCAACCTGCAGCCGGATGTATCATGTGCAGGCTATGCCCACCCCAGGTCCGCAAATGTGAAAAACGTGTGACGGCAACATGATGCAGCACGTTTGACACCCGTGTTCCAGAAGATCTGGATGTTTTGATGCTTGCAAGTGTCACTGACTCCCAACTGGAAAGTAATGTTTCTTTGCCCCATTAACTCTCCTATGGGCTGCAGATGTGATGGAATATAAATTGGAGATAGACGTGGGTAAATAGTCTACTCAGCCACATGGCAAGAAATACAACTTTCTCAGAAAAGCTAAACCTATCTGTACAAACTATTTATTAAGTCTGCACTACTATTAATCTTCTCATCGTTCCCACCACCCATCTCCTTCCACTTATGACTCTATGACTGTAATTTTGTTGCTTGTATCCTTACGATTTATATTGATATTGTTTCCTGATTGCTTATTTGTACCCTATGACTATCATTAAGTGTTGTACCTTATGATTCTTGATGAATGTATCTTTTCTTTTATGTACACTGAGAGCGTATGCACCAAGACAAATTCCTTGTGTTGGCCAATAAGAAATAGTGATTTAGAAGATCAAGGAGTGAATGTTAAACTGGGAAAAGATACTGAGAGATGCTCAGAGTTCTGGGGAAGCAGAAGGAAGTAAATTCCTAGAAAGAAACTCTTTCCATGGAATAATTACTTCATTATTATTATTATTTTTTAATTTGATTTATATGCCGCCCTTCTCCGGAGACTCAAGGCGACTTACAATGCGTTAAGCAATAGCCTTCATACTTTTGTATATTTATAGAAAGTCAGCTTATTGCCCCCACAAACTGGGTCCTCAATTTACCTACCTTAGAAAGGATGGAAGGCTGAGTCAACCTTGAGCGGGGTGAGATTCGAACTTACAGTAATTGCAGACAGCTGGTGTTAATCACAATGCTATCAGTCTGCTGAGCCACCAGGCCCCTTATTCTTTCCGAAACCCACTGTTTTTGTAGCCCTGTCTACACTGCCTCATACTTACACCCTAATTGCCCCACTGATCACTCTAGGAACGTGATGAGTTATATCCAATCAATACTTGCTCTTTATATCCAGTGTGATCAGATATACCTTGCTGCTATATTCAATTCCATGTATGCTTGTAATTTGCATATGTTTATAAAGAGGCCTTCCTTGTCAGGACTAACTTTGCCTCCAGTGGTGCCAATAAACCAATTTGTGCTTCAGTGTAATATGTTTTGGCCTCCAACCCTAACATGCCTCACCTTCTGTCAAAAATGTCAATGTGCTTGCCACCCATTAAAACTTTTCACCCCCTAGTCTAGTTCTTAGGATGCCAGCAGATTTTTTTTCAGCTTCTCCCGAAAGTAATAGTAACAGTTGGAAGGGACCTTGGAGGTCATCTAGTCCAACCCCCTGTTCACGCAGGAGACCTATACTAGAGATTCGAACTGCCGATCCATCTGATTGACAAGCTCAGCGTCTTAGCCACTGAGCCACCTAGCCAGGCATATTTAGTATTTTATCTACTTCTGAAGGCTCTTAATAGAATGAGTTTTGAAATGATGGGTAGGAAGGGAAACAGTTTTCCACTAAGATAGAAATTAAATGATTATACAATTTATGTTCTTTCTCTTGTTATACAGGGAAAAACTTGATGTTTATTGTCTTAAGAGATGGCACAGGCTTCCTTCAGTGTGTCTTGTCAGATGAACTGGTAAGTTCCCTTTTTAGTCCCTTCTGAAACACGTCAAAATTTCATACCCTTGTTAATTTTATTCTAGCAGTCCTAAGATCAATTGAAAGTCAAACACATGGTGAAAGAAAGGTGGAAAAGTTTTCTGAAGGCACATCATCTTTTCAGTTCTGTGGGAAATCTCCATGGTTATAGGAAGGATATCACTAAACAGCATGGTTGAAGTGACAACATTTTGTTGTCCATTGTGGGGCATAGCCTGGAGATCAGATCTATTTGACTTACAATCCTTATCCCACAAAGGCCAACCAGATGTTCATCATGCAGCCAGATGTTGTTCATCATTCAACCTTGCATCATCATCATGCAACCTTGCTGTCTTTCATTAGTGACACTTCACCCATCCTTCCAACTTTTTATCTTCTCACAGCTTTTATTCTCTCCCAGAAGGTAGATTCTACAATGTTCCAGTTTTCTGCTAATGCTTTTGGCTTTAGTGTTTCTTCTTCTACATCAAATTACTTTGCATTCCAGTTTCCTGGGCAACATTTCATCCTTTCCTCAAGAGCTTTGGGTATAGACCCAGCACTCTTCCAAATTTGTCCCAAAATTGTAGTTTTCAGTGTGAAAGAACAGAAAAGATCCTAAACACATGAGGAGCAATCACATTACATGACATTTAATATGATTGCTCATTATATGATTAAAATCTTTTCTTTTCATTTTTATCTTGGCTTCGTGTTCTTTAGTCTTCAACCTACTGTAAAAATATTCCTCCATTCTGTATACATTTGTGTTCCTATATGAAGTTCTGTTTACTATTTTCCTTCCTTCCTAATTAGTGACTAGAGGGACTGGCAAATATTGTTACAATATGGTGTGACTGAATCCATTAAAATGAATAAGAAAACAGGTTTTCCCCTGATTATTATTTTTAAGAACTAGTTTGAGGTAATGGTTAAGGCATCAGGGCAGAAGCCAAGAAACGGTGAGTTCTAGTGGTGCCTTAGCCACGGAGGCTGGTCACGTTATTTCAGCCTTAGGCAGTGGTGGGATTCAAAAATTTTTACTACTGGTTCTGTGGGTGTGGCTTGGTGGGCATGGCAGGGGAAGGATACTGCAAAATCCCCATTCCCTCCCCACTCCTGGGGAAGGTTACTGCAAAATCCCCATTCCCAACAAAAGAAGACCCAGCCGATCACCTGGGAGGCAGCAATAGACCGACCATGCCGATTGGCTGGGAGTCTGGGAGGAAGCAAATAGATCGATTGGGATTGCAGCCCCCTGGGAGTGAAAATGGGCTGTGCGGTGGGGGGGGCACCGTACCCCAGCCTCCTGGGAGCAAAAATGGGCCACTGGGGGGAGCGCCGCACCCCCCCCACATACACCTCGTTTTGGGCGTAATAGGCCTCCCTGCACTTACCTGGGAGCCAAAATGGGGGGCATGGGGACTCCAGGAAGGGGCGGGATGGGAAGGGGCGGGGCCAGTCAGCAATTTAACTACCGGTTTGCCCAAATCAGCTGAATCCCACCACTGGCCTTAGGAAGAAAAGAAACAATGGCAAACAACTTCCGAAAACGTTGCCAAAAAAACCCTGAAAGGACTTGTCTTAGCAATTGCCAGAAGTCAAGACTGACTTGAAGCTTTTATTTTCTAAATCTCTGACAGAGTCTAAATGTTCCTTTATTTCTCCCTGTAGTGCCAATGTTACAATGGTGTGGTCCTTTCAACTGAGAGCAGCGTTGCTGTATATGGCACCCTCAGTCTGGTTCCTGAAGGCAAGCAGGTAAGTGCATTTTATTTTTACTTTTGTAAGGACTTTATGTTTGCTCGAAAGTTGCCCGCCATAAAGGCAGGGTGTTTGTTTCTTTACTCCTTTATTCTGTCATTCAATCAGTGAACAATAGGAACGTGCAAACTAGTGTGTCGTGTCACACTAGTTTGACACGACACACTTGACAAAATGAGGACTTTAGATTTTCTGGCATGCTGAACTTTTGAGTGGAATTTTTTAATGCTCAGGAAATATTCACTTTTGGAATTTTCTCTTGCTTGACGGCATGACTTATTTAGTAATCTGGAGATCAAACTTGTGCCAACTTTTTCCAGCAATATATCTTAAGTGACCTTGGTTTCAGAGCACAGCCAAATTTGCAAATTGTGCTGAGCCATGGCTTGTATAATACTGGTTTTTGCATAAGCCACAATTTGTCATGTTTGTCCGTTGCAGTTAAGTTGCAAACCATGGTTTATGAAGTAATATCATTGGGTCCAGACCGACATTCTAAGTCAAAATAAACCAAGACAACTTAGTATGATATGTGAACTCAAACCCTGATTTGTGGGAAGGGGCTGTTTTAACTTTGAATAAAAGTCAGTTTTAACTTATTAATGGGTCTGACTCTTGTGAATGGCTCTCATTTTCTTTCTCTTGTCAAGGAGTTGATTCAGTTTTCTTTGGGCTGGTTTGATTTTCTGTTTACAAGTTTTCCCTTTAAAGTTCCTGTCAGGCCTGGAAGCCATCTTTTTCGTTGCATCTTCAGGCCTGTTGGGGGTGTTACTTGGAACCCTGACATTTACATTGATTGTGCATGTAAAAAGTTTATCGGTCTCTGAAATCCGCTGATCATTCCAGAAGGGAGAGATCAGTGACCGCTTTGGTTCAAAGTAGTCCTTGACTTGCGACCACAATTGAGCCCCAAATTTGTGTTGCTAAGTGAAACATTTGTTAAGTGAATATTGCCTCATTTTACATCTTTTCTTGCCCCTGTTGTTAAGTGAATCTTTGCAATTATTAAGTTAATAACACGGTTGTTAAGTGAACCTGACTTCCCCAATAACTTTGCTTGTCAGAAGGTCGCAAAAGGAGATCCCATGGTCCAGGGACATTACAACCGTCATAAATATGAGTCAGCTGCCAAGCATCTGAATTTTGATCATGTGTCCATTGGGATGCTGCGATGGTCATAAGTGTGAAAAAGTCGCTTTCTTCAGTGCCGTTGTAGCTTCGAACGGTCACTAAATGAACTGTTGTAAGTCGAGGACTACCTGTAATTGCTAACATGCCTTTCTCACAGCGGTGAGTTTCAGATAGCGCTACGTGAGTGTTATTGTGGTAGCGTTCTTCTGTCTTTAAAAATCTGAAACTCCCACAGGCTCCAGGAGGTCACGAGCTGAGTTGCGACTACTGGGAACTCATTGGTCTGGCTCCAGCCGGAGGAGCCGATAACCTGGTCAATGAAGAGTCGGATGTAGATGTGCAGCTCAACAACCGGCACATGATGATCCGGGGGGAAACCTTGAGCAGAATCTTAAAGGTGCGCTCCACCGTCATCCAGTGCTTCCGAGACCACTTCTTTGACCGCGGATATTATGAAGTAAGTACGCCTCTGGCTTTGCTGCTCTTTAAGCCAGAAATCCTTGGTGTCTCATATTATTCCGTGTAGTAAAAGAAGCTTTTGCAAGTTAATGAGAGCATCATGCCAAAATACTCTTAAGTGTCAACTCGTAAAGCATTCCTGGCCTGTCTCAAGGCTGCATCCTAGGTTACCAGAGCCAGCCGGAGAGACGTGTTCTCTACAGCCCGCGAAAGTGCTCTGTTGGAGAATGTGATTTATGACACACCCTGGGAGGAGGGGGGAAACAGGGTCATAGTTGGGCCGTAAATTACATGGGGCAGACTTCACCTGGGTAGGTGCTGACATGTTGTTCCTAATAAATAACTGGATTTCTTTTGAAACTTGGCTCGAGGCTCATGAATTAATTAATCCATTGGAACCCTGATATAGAGCAGAGTTCCCCAACATTTCTGGGTTGGAGGCCCAGAAGTGGGGAGAAAGGAAAGGGGGGACGGTTTTGTGGAAAGAGTGGGCATGTGTGTGTGCACACATGAGCATCCGTTGATCGTGCTAGTGGGGCCAAGAGCACTCTGGGTGGGGCTGAGCGTGCCCATGATGCTTGCACATCTGACACCCTGAGTGCTTGCGATACTTGAGTGCGGCCAAGAGCGCCCACAACCCACACATAACTGAGGCCCGAGCACCCGTGAAGCTTGTGTGAGTGGGGACAAAAGTGCCCGTGAACACTTGCATGAGTGGGTCAAGAGTGTCTGCGACATGGAAGTGAGGCCCCAAAAAGCTATGATGCTCGTGTGAGTGGGGCTGTGCGCATGCACGCGTGCCTGTCAGCCAGGTCACCACATGGCCTGCTGGCGAATAGGCCGTGGGCCGCGGCTCACAGATTGGGGACCCCTGCTCTAGAATTTTTTTTCTCTCTTCCCTGCTGCCCTCACCTTCTAAGAAAGTATCTGGCTATTTGTCAGTCATCCAGGTCATGGTTGTCCCAAAGGTGCTTTTTCAGGAGGCAACTGGACTTTTAGCTATACAATTTGGGATGAACACCCTTTGAATGGTGTGGGAGTAGGAATGGATTTCCAGAGAAAAAAATTGCAGACTACAGGAACCAGGAGCACTATTTGGGTGACCCTGAAGACACAGATAAACCTCCAAGTGCTTCAACCACCCTCTAAAAAGATGCAAATCACCAGCTGTCTACAAGGAATATGTTGTGACTCCGACCCCCGACGGGGACAGAACAGAATATAAATCCTCACTATCCTGTCAGAAGCTGAAGAAGCTTCTTGGATGAGAAGTGAAACGTCTTCAAAAGAAGAAAAAAAAAAACAAGAAAGTTCAGTTGCCTCCTGAAAAAGCACCTTTGGGACATTTCTGGCTATTTAGTTTTTTATTAATAAAGTCCCCAACAGGTGTAGTTTTTCTGTCTTGAACTCTGTGCAAAATGGAATTCCTGTACAACGTCGTCTTTTATCTTTAGATCACCCCACCAACCCTGGTTCAAACGCAGGTAGAAGGAGGATCAACCCTCTTCAAAATGGATTATTTTGGCGAGGAAGCTTATCTGACACAGTCATCCCAGCTATATTTGGAGACCTGCATCCCAGCCTTGGGGGACACTTTCTGCATTGCCCAGTCCTACCGAGCAGAACAATCAAGGACACGCAGGCACCTCTCTGAGTAAGTGCCTATTTCACTTTTTCTTCAACCTTAGCAACTTTTAAGATGTGTGGACTTCAACTCATGGACTGTTTTGGAATGGACCGTTTTCCATTTGAGATGAATGGAACAAGGTTAGGGAAGCAATCTAAAACTGAGGAGAATTTTTCTAACGGCGGGGACAATCAACCAATGGAACAACTTTTTTTTTTTTAATTTGATTTTATATGCCGCCCTTCTCCGGAGACTCAGGGCGGCTTAGAATGCGCTAAGCAATAGCCTTCATTCTTTTGTATATTTATACAAAGTCAGTTTATTGCCCCCACAAACTGGGTCCTCAATTTACCTACCTTAGAAAGGATGGAAGGCTGAGTCAACCTTGAGCCTTGGCGAGATTCGAACCTGCAGTAATTGCAGGCAGCTGGTCTTAATAACCAGCTTAATAACAGGGTGCCTTAGACCACTGTACTACCAAGGCTCTTGCCTTCAGAAGTTGTGGATGCTCCCTCACTGGAGGCTTTTAAAAAGAAATTAGACAGCCATTTGTCTAAAATGGTATAGGGCCGTGATGGCAAACCTATGGCACGCGTGTCATCTCTGGGCATGCGAACCGTCGCCCAGGTCAGCTCCACCGCGCATGCCCGCTCACCTCCCGCCAGCCAGCTGATTTTCGGGTCTCTGCCGGGAGACACACGCACATGTGAGGGGTGGGTGGGGGATGCGGCCTGTTTTTGGTTCCAGGAGGCTTCAATGAGGCCTGCTAGCACCAAAACGGGGGTCATGCACAGGGGGCGGGGGGAGCATGGGGGGGGTCGCACACACATGCATGGGGCGCGGGGCCTGCAGGGGGGGCATTGCATTATGGGTGTCGGCGCGCGCACTTGTGCGCACTTTCAGCACCTGAGGAAAAAAAGATTCGCCATCACTGGTATGGGGTCTCCTGCTTGAGCAAGGGATTGGAGTAGAAGACCTCCGAAGCCCCTTCCAAATCTGTTATTTTATGTTATTCTATGTTAATCTGCAAGATCTGCAAGTTGGGTGGTAGGGCTGGAGCCCAAAGTCATGAGGTGTTTCTTGTCGTCGTTTCCTTCCCAACATCTTTTTCTATCCCTCCCTTTGTTTTCTTTTCATGTGTGTCTTTCCTTCCTTTTCTCTATGCAAAGCACCAAAGGAAGTGTCCGCTTGCTAAAAATCTGGATTGTTCGCTTAGTAGACGAAGCATTGGAAATAATGCAGGGGATGGCAATAAAATAACAAGAGTTGGAAATTAAATTAACGATCAGAAGTTCATACCAGAAGAGGAATATTGTGTTACTAGAAGAGGTTTAACTAGATCAAGCAGAAGGGGCAGGCTGCAGATCCCATCATCCAGAATGTTGGCTGTCCGGGGCCAGAAGAAGAGCTTTTTCCGCATTGGCCCCTGCTCTGTGGAACATCCTCCTTTCAGAGATCAGAATGGCCTCTTAGTCTGTTAGTCTTTCATAAGGCCTTAAAAACCTGGCTGTGTCCCAAGCTTGGGGCATTGAAAGTGTCAAGGGCCCCATTCCCTGGCCATACTACTAATGGCCAAGTATCTTGCTCCTGTGTATATGTAATTTGGATTTTTAAAACATTTTTATTGTTTTTACTATTGTTTTAAAAGAATAGAATAGAATAGAATAGAATAGAATAGAATAGAATAGAATAGAATAACAAGAGTTGGAAGGGACCTTGGAGATCTTCTAGTCCAACCCCTGCTTAGGCAGGAAACCCTACAGCACTTCAGACAAATGGTTATCCAACATCTTCTTAAAAACTTCCAGTGTTGGAGCATTCACAACTTCTGCAAGCAAGTTGTTCCACTGATTAATTGTTCTAACTGTCAGGAAATTTCTCCTTAGTTCTAAGTTGCTTCTCTCCTTGATTAGTTTCCTCCCATTGCTTCTTGTCCTGCCCTCTGGTGCTTTGGAGAATAGCTTGACTTCCTCTTCTTTGGGGCAGCCCCTGAGATATTAGAACACTGCTATCATGTCTCCTCTAGTCCTCCTTCTCATTAAACTAGACGTACCCAGTTCCTGCAACCGTTCTTCATATGTTTTAGCCTCCAGTCCCCTAATCATGTTTTTATTATTTTTAATTGTGATATATTTTTTGAATTGTAAGCTGCCCAGAGTCATTGACTGAGATGGATGGCGGCAGGTAGGTAGGTAGGCAGGCAGGCACAGAGAGAGGAATGGATAGGTAGGTAGTTGGGTGGTTGGATGGATGAATAGATAGATAGAAATGGATGGAAAGATAGATGGATGGATGGATGGATGAATGGATGGATGGATGGACGGACGGACAGATAGATATTCTTCTCCCTTCCATCCTTTCATTCTGCCACTCTTCCAAAAATGGTTGACTGATGTGTGCAGACACATAATCCAGTCCAAACCTAAGTGGAGTAATGCTTTCTCCGGATGTATTTGTAAAGGAGCATTCAGTGGTCAGGGTCATTCCTGGAGGGGATGAGGAATTGCATGGTGGTTCCCAGCCTTTTTTCTCATAAAGTCACTGGTTTCTTCTTCCAGGTATACTCACATTGAAGCGGAGTGCCCTTTCATGAGCTATGAAGACCTGCTGAACCGTCTGGAGGATCTCGTCTGTGATGTGGTGGATAGGGTCCTCAAATCCTCAGTGTCTGACCTAGTGTATGCCCTCAATCCGGTAAGTGGCTGAGACAAAAAACACAAGTTTTCCTGTTGCAGAACCAAACCTCTCTGTAAAAAAAATAACAGCTTGCCTTTGGAAGTTGTGGGAGCTTCATCACTGGAGACTTTCAAGAAGAGATTGGACTGCCATTTGTCAGAAATGGTGTATGATCTCCTGCTTGGGCGAGGGGGGGGGTTGGATTAGATGACCTACAAGGTCCCTTCCAACTCTGTTAATCTGTTAATCTAATCTAAATAATCCAGAATATGGCACAAGGGAGGCCATAGAAATGAAGAGGGAGGCAGGCACAAATATATGAAACGTTTTTAAAGGATCATTTGTACAGATAGTCCTTGAGTTAGGACCCCAATTATGGCCATAAATTATGATCGTTGAAAAGCTGGTCATCGCATGATCAGATCTGATTTTATGATTTTTTTAAATGATTTTTTTTTTTTTTACAAAAGTTGATAATTGTTCGTTATGGGGTGGGAGGTTTTTTTTTTGTTCAGACATCAGAACAAAATGCCAGCTTTTGGGGAAAAATATAATTTGCAGTCCTGTGAACACAAGGCCCTGCAAACAGCCATAAATGTTGGCCAGTAAAAGCAGAGAATATACCATCGGAGGGAGAAGTAATTAAAAAATTTTTAGATTGTGCCAGGGTGGATTTGATTTAAATCGAGTTGATTTAAATCACAATTTAAATCATGATTTAAATCACTAGTAAAAAGGCTTGATTTAAATCAACTTGATTTAAATCATAATTTTTAAAGAGGAACTGTCATCTCTGCTACTCCTTTGACCCACTGTTGACTCACCGATAGTCCCAGTGTTGCAGAATATACAGCCTCATGCTACATAACTAAGCTCCATTTCATGCTGAATAAACTAAATTATTTATGTATCTTAAATAGAAAATTATCTTACGATAGATTTTTACTCCAAAAGTTTTTTATTAAAATAAATTCAATAAAAATCAAAAAAATCCGATTTAAATCCAAAAAATCTGATTTTTTAAATTTTTTTTAAAAAAATCATTGATTTTTATCCACCCTGGATTGTGCAGAAATGAATAGATTAACTATGAAGATAAAAGAAAGAGAAGATTCAGAATATTTTAAGATATGGAATCAATTTTATTATTGGTTAGAAAAAAGATATAAATAAGCTTTAATAGAGATAGATAAAATATGTTACAACTAGAATATTAGATTAGTGGGAAATTTTTGTAATGGACTTAGCGAGAATGAAGATAGAAGAGATAACAGAAAAGAAGAAGTTTTTGGAGATAACACCGAGATGTCACATGGAAGAAATGAATGATGTACTAAATGTTTGTCTAAAAAAAATAAAAAACTTAAAAAAAAAAATGTTGGCCCGTTGACAAGCAACCAAAATGCAGTCATGTGATCACAAGCGGGGAAGGAGACTGGAACTGGGTTTTTAAGTAACTTATGGAGGATCCATCATAGCTTCAAATGGTCACTAAGCAACCCGTCGTACATTGAGGACTATCGGTACGTTTTGGTTCGCTAGTGGTCAGAATGCCTGGCAGTTTCAAGATAGAACGTGACCCAAAGAGGATACAGGTAGTCCTCGACTTATGACCCCAAATTTATGTTGCTCTGTGACACATTTGTTAAGTGAATTTGGCTCCATTTTACGACATTTCTTACCACGGTTGTTAAGTGAATCACTGCAGTTGCTAATTTAGGAACACGGTTGTTAAGTGAGTCTGGCTTCCCCATTGACTTCGCTTATCAGAGGATTGCAGAAGATGATCACATGACCCCGGGTCACTGCAACCGTCATAAATATGAATCAGTTGCCAAGCATTTGAATTTTGATCACATGATTTTGAGGAGGCTGCCACGGTCATAAGTGTGAAAAGCAGTCATAAGTCACTTTTTCAGGGCTGTTGTAACTTCGATGGTTACCAAATGAACGGTTGTAAGTCGAGGAGTACCTGTAATAAAATTAAACCAACCCACTGGTGTAGTTTTTAAAGCCTTGCCATCTTTACCGGTGCATCTTTCACCTGTAATTTCAGAACTTTGAGCCTCCCAAGCGCCCCTTCAAACGGATGAACTACACAGAAGCCCTGATCTGGCTCAAAGAACATGAGGTGAAAAAGGAAGATGACACCTACTACGAGTTTGGAGAGGTAAGTTTCTGGCTTTGTTTTTGAGCACCCATGCTTTCTCTTGTACTCAAAGAAGCAGCAGCAGTAGTTAAGTATCTGGCCCATGGCTTAGGCCCAGGATATTTGTCGGACCATCTGCAACCAGCAACAGCTTCCCATCGCCCGGTGCGTTCTCACAGGGAGGGTCTACTCAGGGTGCCGTCGGCGAGACAATGTCGGCTGACGGCCCCCAGAGGTAGAGCTTTCTCTGTGGGGGCTCCCACCCTTTGGAATCAACTCCCCCTGGGGCTCCGGTTGGCCCCTGACCTTCGCACTTTCCGCCGCGAACTAAAGACATGGCTCTTTAAATCGCCCAGCCTGGACTGATGGGGTTTGATTATTTTAATAAGTTTTAACATACGTTTAATTTGTATTTTAATATGTTGTTATCTGGTTTGATTTTAATTGTTGTGAGCCGCCCTGAGTCCTATGGAGATAGGGCGGCATACAAATCAAATTAAATAAATAAATAAATAAACTGGGTAGCAGCATTTAACTGATCTTGGATGGTTTGGGTTACCTTGGATGGAAAACCTCCAGATCAGGAGTCAGCAACCCGCGGCTCTGGAGCCACATGTGGCTCTTTCATCCCTCTGCTGCGGCTCCCTGTTGCCAGTTGGCTCCACAATTAATAGGGCTTTCGGTTAGGGCAGGTAGAGGAAAAAGGACACTGCGCAGGAGGAGACTCTATGGTGGGGGAACCGGACGTCCGGTCGGCTCCAAAATTGAACGGGGGGCTTCCGGTTAGGGCCTTTGTGGCTCTTTGAGTGTTTAAGGTTGCTGACCCCCGCCAGATGATCCCAGGGTAGACTGGAAGCTCAAAAAAAATCTCACTTGAAAGCAGTAAAAATAAAATTCCGCTTCTGTAAAATCACGTGAAGTATTAGTATCACTTTATAAAGCCTTAGTAAGGCCACTTGTAGAATATTGCAGTCAGTTTTGTTCACCACACTATGAAAAGGATGTTGAGACTTTGGAAAAAGTGCAGAGAAGAACAATTTATTATTTACTGTTTTAAAAAAAAAATTATTATATGTATATGAAATCTTATTCTGTTCACCGCCCTGAGTCCTTTGGGAGAAGGGTGGTATAGAAATTCAATCAATCAATCAATCCATAAATAAATAAATAAATAAGTTTAAAGGCCTGGAGACTAAACCGTATGATGAACGGTTGCAGGAATTGGGTTTGACTAGTCTAGAGAAAAGAAGGGCTAGGGGGGACATGATAGCAGTATTCTAGTATTTGAGAGGTTGTTATAAAGAGGAAGTGGTCAATTTATTTTCTAAAGCTCCTGAGGGCAGGACAAGAAACAATGGATGGAACCTAATCAAGGAGAGAAGCAACCTAGAACTAAGGAGAAACTTCCTAACAGTGAGGACAATTAACCAGCGGAACAGCTTTGCCTTCAGAAGTTGTGGGTGCTTCATCACTGGAGGTTTTAAGAGGAGACTGGACAGCCACTTATCTGAAATCCTATAGTCTCCTGCTTGAGCAGGTGGGGGCAGGGAGGTTGGATTAGAAGACCTCCAAAGTCCCTTCCAGCTCTATTCTGATTGAATTGAATTGATTGAAAGATTATCAAGTTCTTGGAAGGACTGACCTTCAAATTATGGCTGTTGTCCTAATTTCAAAAATCCCCAACAATCAAATACATCAGTTTCTGTACTGTGAGTTCTAGGTCCACCTTAGGCATGAAAAACCAGCTGGGAGAATTTGGGCCGGTCGCTGTCTTTCAGGTCATCTGGGTTATTGTTGTGAAAAAAATAAGAGGAGTTTGAATTGTATATGAAAAAAAAAACTTTAAACAAATTCAGATCTCTGTCCCTTTCTCTGTGGGAAAGGATGTGGAAAGATAAAAGAGAATTAGAGTATCAGATGAGAGTATCTGTCAGAAGTGAAAAAAGGCAATCAGAGAAAAAAGTTATAGTCATTCCTTTTTGTGCCTTTGGTTCAGGATCCATCATGATTTATAGATTATCCCCAAATTCATGAAATTTGCATTCTTGCCCCAGATTGTGGCTTGGCTGTGGATCTGGTGGCACATTGTCTAAAGCAATAACATGGTTTGTTTGGACTTGGCTTCATGTGTCATATAAATAGATTGTGATTTAGAGATCACAATGTATGGCTTGGCAAGTCACGTCAGCTTAACCAATGGTAGTTTATTGAGTAAACAGTAGTCAAGGAAGGTCTATCTTAATTTAATGTGAGAAGCTAATCATAAAGGCATCTGAATCTCCAGGAGAATTCAATTGATTATTAATTATACTGGCCCAAGTTGATTTAAATTCTGGAGTTCAAATTTTCCAAAGATATCTTCATTCAGTCAACATCTGATATACATTCAGAAGATATGGGAAAAAGTCATTTTCAGTGCCTGTGTCTGCTATAAAACCGGAAAATTCATTGTAAGCAGTGTGGTTGTTAAATGAGACATCATACAACTGCAGCCAATTTAATGACTTTTTTTTTGCCACAGTCATTAAGTGGGACATCATGTGATTGTGACTTGTGACCTTCCCTATTGACTTTGCTTCTCAGAAGCTGGCTGGGAAGGTCACACATGGCAATCACATGATTGTGGATTGCTGCAATGGTCATAAGTGCAAGGACTGTCCATAAATCACTTTCTTCAACACCATTGTAACTTCAAACTGTTTCTAAGTGAATGATCGTAAGACAAGAACTACCTGTAAAGTGTCCCTCAAAAGGTTGAAACCTTCTTCTGGAGGGTTTGATCCAGCTTCTTGAAGGATTTGCTCAGGTTATCTACACGGACAAGCAACATTTCCTCTGTTTTGGTCAACCTAACCTTTGATGTGACCACTGGCTGATTCCCCAAATCTAGGTGCTAAAATAGCAGTAAGCTAACTAAGGCTTTAGGCTAGTTCCCCCCCCAAAAAAATGTGACTCCAGAGATAGAAGGTAGCTTAATCAGTGGCAGTGGAACAGTTCTAGGCAGAAGGAGAAATTAATTGCTGGGTTTTTTTTTTCAACCACAGGATATCCCAGAAGCTCCAGAGAGACAGATGACCGATGCTATTAACGAACCAATCTTGCTGTGTCGATTTCCTGCTGAGATTAAATCCTTCTACATGCAGCGCTGCCCCGAGGACGCCCGTCTTACTGAATCTGTCAGTTTGTGTTCCCTTTCGTGTATTGCATGCAAGATACGGTGGGGGGGGAGGGGGTTGGGGAACTTACTCATCTTCTTAATGTGGAGTCTAAAATTCCCCACCTGGTTAGCAAGGTCTTGAAACCTATTCAAAAACAGGATTTTACAAAACAAAGTAACACTTGATTCCTGAGTATTTGCACGGTATTGCTGCTTTCATCAAAATAGTTGAAGAGCATCATGTCACAAGCTCCTGGGGAAGGAGTAATGGTACGATGCTGTGCTGTCATTTTGCATCTCTTCCTCCCCTGGTGTCTCTTGATTTCTGGCAGCTCTTGGTAGATGAGAGCTCATCCACATGGCGGCAGAATTCTCCTGGGCTGTCCCAAAGGGCCTTTTCAAAAGGCAGCTGGACTTTCTTGGGGTTTTTTTTCCCTTGGAAACATTTCGCTTCTCATCCAAGAAGCTTCTTTAGTTCTTGGATGAGAATTGAAATGTTTTCAAGGGAAAAAAAACCCAAGAAAGTCCAATTGCCTTTGGGACAATCCTATCTGGATGATTGAGACTCTCCATAGACCCTCCTGAGCTGTTTTACTTCAGATTATTGGTACTGTATTTGTTTGGCTTTCTATGCTATAAAGAACATTAGTACATTCGGAAAAGAAAGACTCTATAAGTTCAAAACGGATGTCTCATGACACCCAAAATGGTATCCTGTAGAATCTTAGATAATCCTGTGTAAAGTGTTAGAAGGGACATGGTGGCTCAGTGGCTAAGATACTGAGCTTGTAGGTCGAAAGGTCGGCAGTTCAGTGGTTCAAATCCCTAATGCTGCGTAACAGGGTGAGCTCCCGTTACTTGTTCCAGCTTCTGCCAACCTAACAGTTCGAAAGCACGTAAAAATGCAAGTAGAAAAAATAGGGACCACCTTTGGTGGGAAGGTAACAGTGTTCCGTGCGCCTTTGGCATTTACTTATGCCGGCCACATGACCACGGAGACATCTTTGGACAGCGCTGGCTCTTCGGCTTTGAAACGGAGATGAGCACCGCCCCTTAGAGTCGGGAACAACTAGCACATATGTGCGAGGGGAATCTTTACCTAAAGTGTTAGATGGATCCCAAGTCAGTGACTGGCTGGTTAAACCATAATGTGATTGGTTTAGTCTGCTGTCTAAATCCATGCCGAAAGCTAAATTGTGGTTGAGGAGGAATGTTCTACACATATTTGTAACCATAACCTGTAGCGCAGAGGGTAAAAAGAACATTCCAGCATTGAAATGCATCTTTCCTAAATTGGAAAGAGTGATTCTAAGTCATGGATGTCAAACTCGTGTCGTCACATGACGTATCATGACTCCCCCCACTTCGCTAAACCAGGCATGGGCGTGGCCAGTACGTGCCACATCCGGCCTGCGAGTTTGACAGCCCTGTTCTAAGTTATTAAATTTTACTCTCCAGGACTCCTTTCAGACTGAAAAAATTCTGGGCACCAGCACAGAGTTTGGGATGTTCTTCCTGGGAGTCTGTTTTACAGGTTATTGACCACAAGATGTCACTCAGACCCACAGCTCACAGGAGATCTCTGTTTGTAATATTTGGCTAGATGTTCTTATGGAGAGTCCACCTACAGTTCCATCTGGTTATTTGACAGGGGGAGGGGAAAAGGAGAAATTTCCCGGAACCCTTGTGTTGCTCATCTCTAATCCTTGGACCATACATGTTACAACCAGTACCTTCTGTTTGGCTTCCCAACTCTGCTGAGTGACCTACAATAAGGTTAATTATTATACAATAATTGTTGTAGGCTAGGAGTTGAAGTTCTGAAAGATCCGCTGTAAACCAAGTTACTGTATTTTTCGGACGTACTTCCTTCCCCCAAAAAATAGTGGGTGGGAATGTCTGTGCATCTTACAGACCGAATACGGCCCTAGTTTTTTGCCTCACGAACTCCCCTGCGCATCCCGTTTTTGGGACAGGCCCATTTTTGGCAAAAACGGGACGTCTGAAGAGTTTGGGAGGCCTGCTGAGTGTTCCTGGGGGCCAAGGAGAACAAAAATCGGATGCGCAGCGGCCAAAAACTTTTTTTTCTTGTTTTCCTCTTTGAAATCTAGGTGCGTCTTATACTCCGGTGTGTGTTATAGTCTGAAAAATATGTAAGTCATATGCAACTTCTGACTCCCAATGGGCTTTTTTGTCTTGATTTATAGGTTGATGTGTTGATGCCTAATGTTGGTGAAATTGTGGGAGGTTCCATGCGTATTTGGGACAGTGAAGAGCTACTGGAAGGTTACAAGAGAGAAGGAATTGATCCCACCCCTTATTATTGGTATACAGACCAGGTACGTGTTATGAGTTGGTGGCCTGTCTTGTCATTCGTTTACCATGTGGCAGGAACATAGTAATATTGGAAGGCAAACCAAAGATCAAATCAAATCCAGCAGACTTTGGTGGACCAATTAATGTAGAACAGTGATGGCAAACCTTTTTGGCACCGAGTGCTGAAAAGGCAAAGTGCGCGTGAATTTCATGCACGCACGTCTGGGCCTCAACCCAGAAGAGCAGCTGCCCAGAGCGCATGCACACGCCTGAAAGTTAACTTCCGGTTTCAGCTACTGAACTTCCGGTTTCAGCCAGCTACTCTTCCGGGTTTCTGGTGCACATGCGCACGCGACGATCAGCTGGCTAGTGCACATGCTCACGCAGGAAAATAGAAGACCAGCTCTTCTAGTTTCCGGCACTGCCGCATGCAAAAAGGCCAGCTGATCATAGCACGCACATGTGCACCAAAAACCCGGAAGAGGAACGGGCGATGCCGTGTGTGCCAGGTGACATCACGGATGTAGAAAATGCTAAAAAATTTTGGAAACAGAAAGCTTTTGGAACAGTTCTAGAAAAGCTTCCCAAATTGGTAACATAATTATCAATCTGAAAAAAAAGATGCCAATCATTAAATACATGGGGATAAATCCTATTAATAATCATTAGTATTAATTCCATAAAATGAACATTCAGAAGGTCCTAAGCATTTTTGCAGGGTAAACCTAATAGACTACTCTTTAAAACAAAATTCATTCTTCAGCATGAAAAAAAACAACAAAAAACCCCATAATATGCTTCTGATCTCAAACTTCCAAACTGTTTTTCATTTGCCTTAGGTTCCACCCCTTACACATTGAATGTGGCACACAGCCTGATTGTTAGATGGCTGCTTCTTATTCCAAAGGGGAAGAGGTTTAAGATTTTTTGGCAGAAGGGGGAATTGGCTATGGGGAAAAGCCTTATAATCTCTGTTTCTGCTGATGAGTTTTCATTCATCTGTTTTCTCCCTGCCAATCAGGGAGATTCTCTCCCCTGCTGGTGATTTAGTTGAAATATATATTCGAGCAATAATTGTATGAACAGTGTAATGTCTTGTTTGGACTTTGGCCCAAGGATTATGAAATGTCTAAAAAGATTTTCATGCAACAAGATGTCACTCAGAAGCCATTGTTTTAAAATATCAGATGTTATCTAAGAGGCAAGCTTTTCGGAATATATGCAGTCGGTCTGTATGAGCAGACGGCTTACCTGTCTGCCCATCCATCCATCCATCCATCCATCCATCCATCCATCCCTGTCTTTAATACTTTATAAGTAATTCAAGGCAGCAAACATACCTAATATCCCTTTCTTCTCCTATTTTCCCCAAAACAACAACTCCGTTAGGTGGGTTGGACCAAGAGAGTGAGTGGCTCCAAGTCACCCAGCTGGCTTTCATGCCTAGCAGGTTTTCTTAGCGCTCAGCTACTAACCCAAATTGGAGCAAGGCTCCAGAATGGCAGCCATTCTCCAGCCTGTTCTTCTGAGCAAACTTCCCTTGTTGATATCAGCCGGAGAATGGCGCTACATTTTTTTTCAGACTAACCCACAACACAGGCTTGTGTGACAATGGAATCAGTTCATCGTAATCCTGAATTCTTTGGAAGTAAAATGGGAAGACCCGCATAAATCCTGAAGGTTAAGTTGTCCCCAGGTCTGAGGTGTTAAAATAATCTCAGGTGTCTTGATTTGCACAATTGTGTGGCTTAGCAATGGAGGTTTGTAAGCAAACCCCAGGCGAATCACCTTGGCTTACCATGACATGTAAATGTACACTATTAAGTCACAGTTCTGGGTTTGGGGTTGCAAGGTGGTTTGTTCATTAGGCATTTATTGACGCCTGTCTCATTTTTGGCTTTGCAGCGTAAATATGGCACATGTCCTCATGGTGGTTACGGGTTAGGCCTGGAGCGATTCCTTACCTGGATTCTGAACAGACACCATATCCGAGATGTATGCCTATACCCTCGCTTCGTTCAGCGATGCAAACCCTAATCAAAAGTTTCTTGATGGACAAAGTCTATCCAACCTTAAGCAGTTTCCTCCTCATGGTTTCATGTCTCTGTCCCACAAATACGTACAGATGTTGTTGTTTTTTTCCCAAATGAAATTAATTGCTTTGAATTGGAATTTAAATTCCAGACTACTGATTCCAGAAATGTCTTCCCCTCTGATTGTCTCAACCTGGTTTCACTCTCACGTATTCTTTTAACATATTTAAAATCATTGATTGCCGGTGGAAGCTAGCTGTGGGCTCTACTTCAAGGTCATATGATCTGTAACAACACTTTGTAGCCCTGGGCTCTCAGAAAAGTAAAAAGAAAAAAAAAATGCAAGGCATTGCATAATTTTTAGTAGGAGCTGAATTCAGGATTTGATATCGGATTTGGGGAAAATAAACATTAGGAAGCAGACTTTGCTGATGCCAATACAAATAGCAGATATAAATTGTGGCCAAATAAAATCCTGTGGGAAAAGGACAATTTTAGCCCAGTTTTGACCCACTACCTTGGGATCTTAAAAATAGTCTATTGAGCTATCTTGGTAGCATTCAGTACTTTCCTACGGATGACTACTATTTAAGTTCCAGCATGGCTCAGGAGAACGGTTTCTGTATTTTACAGCTAATTAGCTTGTTTTTCAGGATCTGTGAATATGAGTTACGCTAAACGGTTGATTCAGAAAAATACTTGACATCTTTATTCCCTCCAAAGGAGCTGGGAACTGGCAATTGAAGAAAGCTGAATGTATTGCTATTACTTTTGAAATTTCCTAGTCTGCAAGTACTTGGGCCGAGTTGTACTTAGCTTTCCTTTAAATGTTTTTACTGACATAGGACGGTTGAAATGTAAACTGCCTCTGAGCCACCAAAACAATTAGGAAAAAAAAATGTAGAAGGAACATAGGAGATTCTGGATTGCCAGCTCTGGCAGCATTCTTTGATGTACGTTTTATCTCAACTTTACATGTTTCTGTTAACTGCTGTGTCCCCCTTTCAAGAGCTGCAATCAATAAATTCAGAGCATTGGAGAGGGGAAAAAATGTTCCACATGACTGTCCCATTTGTCTTCCTTTTGCCAGTTCTTAAAATATCTATTTGTCAAATTTATTTGCCACCCATCTTGCAGTTCAGGCGACTCTGAGCGGCTTACTACAATTATAAATGTAAAAACGGATTAAAATAGCAAAACTTAAAACAAGCCAAAAAACAGTGGCTTGGAGGGAGGAGGTGGGGGTGCCTTTACTGTTAGTACCAGTCATCTCCAGCCAACATAGCCAGGTTTTAAGGGCTTTCCTGAAGGCTAAAAGAGGGGGATATCCAGGGGTGGGCTGCTGAGGGTTCACAGAGGTTCAGAGAACGTCTAGCTAAGATTCTGTGCAGTTCGGAGAACCCCCAAATCACACTCCTGGCTGGCTCCTTCCACCCTGCCCCTCCCAGGAGTCCCCACACGGCCTATTTTGGATGCAGGTAAGTGCAGGGTGCTCACGGAGGCTTGGGGAGGGCGAAAAACAGGCCTACCGGAAGCCCATTTCCAGCCTCCAGAGGGCCTCTGGAGCCTGGGGAGGCCGTTTTCACCCTCCCGGAGGCTTGAGGAAAGCCTCCGGAGCCCAGGAGGGCAAAAAGCCCCCACCCCCCCGCACGCAGTGGTGCAGGAGGTCGACTAGGCCACGCCCACCATGGCCATGCCCACCCAGCAACCGGGCAGAGAACCGCTTGTTAAAATTTTTGAAGCCCACCCCTGGGGATATCTTAACCTTCTGTGGCAAGTTGTTCCAAAGGATAGGAGCAACTAACAGGATTTTGGGGAAAAAGAGATGATCATGCTGTTTGGGGAATTCCGGGAGTTGAAGTCCACACATCTTAAAGTTGATAAAGCTAAGAAACATTAGTTTTCCCCCAAATGCTCTACCCCAATTAAGTTTTGCCTTCTTTCAAGGCTTGTTTTCAGTATAAACCACCATTTTTCTTATGATTTTCTTAAGATTCAAGGCTTACTTGGAACTTAGAGGCATTCTTGAAACTTAAGATGAGCTGGAAGAAAGGGATAGAAATGTAGGCTGCTGGAACAGGTCAAGACCAATTCCCATTGGTCACAAAATGAAACACCTGCTGAGAAAGGTTTATGGGTCAAAATGGCTTCCTGGTTCTCTTCCGAGCTCACCCTTCCTAACAGGGTGGTCACAACTACAAACTAAGACGCATTTTGACCTGTGAAGCAGGCTGATACTTGGCAACCTGCTAGTTTTCCATTTATCTTTTGAACATTTGAAATTGATTGAACCCTGCACTATATTGAGACATTCCCTAAGCCACATTTTACCAACCCAAAATAAATTAAATGATTATATGCCATTAAGTCAGTATCAACTCTTCTGGGCAGTATAGATAGATTTTATTAAGCTTGCTTTTAGGCTGCTTCAATCATATGAAACGTATACGCTAGCTTCTTTCTCTAGAGATACATCCTGCCTTATAAGGTCATCCAGTTTTATCCAGCAGCAACCATGTAAAGCCAGTTGGGATGAAAGAATATGACTGGCCCAAAGTCACTTACAAAGATGGAAAGTGAGAAAGGAATCTAAATCTGTGATCCCCAATGCCAGCCCAACACTTTAACCGTTGCCACATGCTGTATCTCCAAAATCTGTGGGGTAGCTCAGCATACCAAGCTCAATCAAACCATATTATGGCTTCGTTAGTATGACACGAAGTGGGCCGTTTGGTTTTTCTCTGCTATGAGGAACCCCCGTGTTTCAGTGAAAACAAGTAGTTGACGTATGACCACAATTGAGCCCAAAATTTCTTTTGCTAAACATGTTAAGTGAGTTTGCCCCATTTATTTATTTATTTTATTTATTGGTTCGATTTATATGCCGCCCTTCTCCGGAGACTCAGGGCGGCTTACAATGCGTTAAGCAATAGCCTTCATACTTTTGTATATACCTGCTTAGTAGGGCTTTTGGCCCCCACTAAGCGGTGTTCTTTTTTATACAAAGTCAGCTTATTGCCCCCACAAACCAGGTCCTCATTTTACCTACCTCGAAAGGATGGAAGGCTGAGTCAACCTTGAGCCTGGTGAGATTTGAACTTGCAGTAATTGCAGGCAGCTGGTGTTACTTAACAGCACTTTAGTCTGCTGTGCCACCAAGGCGCAGTTGTTAACAGTTGCCATAGTTGTTAATTGAATCACTATAGTTATTCAATTAGTCCAGGGGTCTGCAACCTTAAACACTCAAAGAGCCATTTGGATCCGTTTCCCAGAGAAAAGAAAACACTGGGAGCCACAAAACCCTTCTCATGCCTGACTATTTCTTGAGCAGCCACAAAACTAGCATAAGTAGTTGAAGTAAATGTTCTGTTTTCTTCTGAAGCTTTTCTTGGATTTATCCATGACTGGCCTACCGGGGGTTGAAAAGCTCAATAAATTGCATGCCAGTGGGTGTCGCACATTGGCGGTTGTGACGCATATTTTGAGTGACGGAGCCGCAGCAGAGGGATGAAAGAGCCACATGCGGCTCCAGAACCGCAGGTTGCTGACCCTTGAATTAGTCAAATTGTTGTTAAGTGAATCTGGCTTCCCCATTGACTTTGCTTGTCAGAAAGCTGCAAAAGGGGATCACATGATCCCAGGACATTGCAACAATCATAAATGCAAATTGCCAAGCTTCTGAATTTTGATCACTTCTCATGGGAATGCTACAACAGTCATAAGTGTGAAAACTGGTAATGTTACTTTTTTCAGTGCAGTTGTAACTTTGAACGGTCACTAAATGACTATTGTAAATCAAGGACTACCTGTACAAATTTTCCCGAAATACATCAGAACTTGGCAGTTCCACTCCTAATACAGTACATTTTACAATATTTGCTCATGAGTAATATGTATGATGTGTTTATAGATGTTGCCATAGAAATCGTACCTCAAGTGTTTCCTGGAGTAAAAGACATAAGGCTGCCTGTTTTATGTCTGCAGCATCCAATACAAAAATCTAACCTTATGAACAATGAAGAATTTCTGGTTCATCTGCCATTTATTTATTTAATTTATATTATCCAAAGTAACAAAATCTCCCCGCGCTGTCACAATAATTGTTCCCACAAGCCTTGACAATATGAAACCTTATTCATTTGTACTGAGGGAGCTAATAAACTCACTAAATATTGAGTGATCTTTGGATAAGCTTTTGCAACGATGTCTTGCCCACTTTCTGCATTTTTATCTTATAATTCCATTGCAACAGAACTTTCAAGGCAGCTACTGATAGGGGCGAGGACATCAATTAACCTCACAGCAAAGTATATTGTTCCTTCAAAAAAAATATCTGCACCTTCAAAAAAATAGACAATTCCTCCAACTGGATGAAGAGTTCAGGCGAAGATAAAACACCAATGTTTCTGCTTTGGGATCTTTATTTGGAGGATTATGCTACTGTTTTCAATAATCATGGGCTGCAAAAATGCACGTCCGCGGTTGTATCTGACTTTAGAGCCACCAGTTGGCCATACCAGGTTTGTGCTTTGAAGGTGGAGAAGCACAAACATTGCTGGCCAACTGGGACTCTAAATAGCAAATCTGCATCTGTCAATGGATCTCAATCCAGCTTCTGCACCAAGCAGACTCCCTTATTTAAACTCCACTTGTAATGTCTGTGGAGATTCTCAGCCATCCAGGTCATGATTGTCCCAAAGGTGGTTTTTCAAGAGGCAACTGGACTTTCTGGTTTTTCTTTGAAGACGTTTCGCTTCTCATCCAAGAAGCATCTTCAGCTCTGACAGGATAATGGGGAATGGAAGGATTTATATTCCTTGTAGACAGCTGGTCATTTGCATCCTTTTAGAGGGTGGTTGAAGCACTTGGAGGTTTATCTGTGTCCTCAGGGTCACCCAAATAGTGCTCCTGGTTCCTGTAGTCTCCAATTTTTCCTCTGAAAATCCATTCCTACTCCCACACCATTCCAAGGATTTTCATCCCAAATTGTATAGCTGAAAGTCTGTAGAGATTCTCAGTTATCCAGGTCATGGTGATCCCAAAGGTGCTCCCCCCCCGCCCCCTCAGGAGGCAACTGGACTTTGTTTTTTCTTTCACTTTTTTTTTTGAAAAGTTTTAAAATTTTTTACAGATTTTCCCCTCCCTCCTCCCCCCTCCTGCCCCATCTCTGTTACAGATGAAAATACCTAACCTGATATCTGTAAATATGTGTCTTGTTTATATGTCATTGTGTGATGTCATTGTGTCACTTACCATTGGTTAGTACTTACCATTAGCCCCGCCTTCTCTGTATATAAGTTCTTGCTCCTCCCAGATTAGTCCCTGTCTAATTGTGTTCCTGAGGAAGAAAAGAAATAAATATTACTATTACAAGAAAGCCTACAGTCTCTTATATATGGGCCTAACCAGGATAACCAAACTAGCAACAAATTGGTAGCAAGAGGATGGTTTGGTAGGCCCAACCGAACATAAAGATGCAAGACTCACATAACGACAAAAGAAGACCTGCCACCAGATACATAACGAAAAGAATGGCAGCTCAACTAACTCCTGACAAATATACACCACTTGAAAATATTAAGAAACAAACGCAATTACAAGAAAATGAACTGCTAACACCAAACAAAGAAGATGAGGTAAAAAGAAAAAATACTAGAATTAATAGAAACAACTACAGCTGAATCAAATCTGCTTGTGAAAATCCGCAGCATAATAAACGACCACGGAACAGCAGCAGATAACGAAAATAACAAACAAGAAAACTGCAAGGTAAGAAATTCAACCCCTGACTTCAAAAATGACACCAAAGATGGCGACAGCTTCCCGCCTTTTTCATGGCAGCCATCTTACCCACCTAATACCTCTAAAATGCCTGACCAATTACTAAAAGAATTCCAAACCTCAAACTACGAAATAAAAAACAAAACCTACCAAGAAGATGATTACCCGAGTCCAAAAACAAATAAAAAACAATTATTTAAACAAAACAAAGCTCAACCTACTGAAGTAGAAATAGACAATGCTATACAGGTGCTAACTGCAGCACTCGGGACTAAAC